CCTCTCACACAGCCCAATAACTATTGAATACATTTTTCGAAAGATTGAACGAATCGGTTGAAATTTGTTTTTTCGAGTCTTACATAATATAAATGACATTTTTGTTGTATCTGCTAAATTCATGGCTAGTGTTTATGTTTTTTCAAGCCTGTTTGATGCAGTTGCGTTGACGTGATACTCCTAATCTCTAGGTCGGAGCTTTGATTCCGGCCGAAAACGCGAGTTTTCTTTTTTAATTCCTACCTTTTTTCCTTAATTCACTATTCTAATTTTTCAGAGCTATATTTAACGGCTTTATTGCCTGTGTTTGCGGAGTGCAGCGTTGCCCGTGTATAGAAAATTCAAACGAAACGGGATTTTGTGTGAGGAATTGGTAATCGTAAATCTAAAATTTTGCAAGGAGAGCCAACTCTAGATATTTTAGGAGCAATATAATGATTTTCCTGCATTTTCAAATACAGAAGTAGTGACCACGATATGGAGTGCGCCTCCTCTACTCTTTCGTAAATTAGCTGTTTGCTCATAGAATTAATTAAAAATTCTAGAGCGAGGCGTGATTGACTTTCTGATTTTGGTGTTTAGGTTTAAGATTCTGGCTAATCAGTTGATGAGTCTGCAGTCGACGACGGAGATCAATCAGCAACTTCTACAGGACGTTATGTGAGTTTCTCTACGCACACCGGAAATGATGTAAATTTATAAAATTTCAGTGTTCTGAATATGCTTTATGGCATTACGTGAAGTTAAGCTCATTTTAAACTTATGTAATCATCACTTATGTTCATTGATTTTTTCAGATCCGCAAGAACTGCTAATGCGAGCAACATAGGCGGCCTTTCTTCTCACTTCTCATCCACCAATATTTCCGTCGACAGTGACGCTGTTAGCAGTGCGCCTGAAGAATGATGATTAGAACTATTTTGGCCACGTGCACAAAAACTGATGAATCGAATCCAGTACTGTAATAATTTTCTTCATGGTCTGATATCGTATTCTATGCATCAGATCGAAAAGCAAGCTGGATGTGTTCGTTTATGATGATATTGGTTATTGATGAAATTTTGATTAGAGGAAGAGAAGAACATTTAATTTTTTAAATATATAGTAGCATTTACTTCAATTCAATGTTAGTTAATTTAGAGTTCTTTCAAGTAATGACTGGATTAAGTAATCGGATGTCCTCAAAAGTAAGTCTGGAAAAATGAGCTTTTATTCTGGTCTCTTAATTATGTGTAATGTTTTTAAACAAAAAATTCCATCAGCTGCAAATGAAAAGCAAATCTTTCTTAATTCCTGTTTGATAAAAACGTATAATGAAAATATATGGGATCGGGTTATTTTATTTTTTATTTTGAAATTGTGGGTGGAATTTTTGACCTATATTTTTGAATTGTTGACATTCTCAAAAACAACCGTTCCAAAGCTAAAATGCTGAATTCAATGGATTGAGCAGGTTGTGGGAAGCTCCCCTGTATTAGCGGCAACGCCCAATTTTTTTTGCACGAAAAGTTATGGCCCTCAGAAAAGTCAAATTATCGATTTTTTTCTACCGTTTTTTGAAACTTGTTTTTTTTTCTCAAAAACTAACTGCCAGAATCTGAGATTTTTGGCTGAATGAGTAGGAGTTGTGGAAAGCTACCTTGCATACGCTGCTGCGCCCAAATTTTTTGACACAAAAAGTTTTGGCCCTCAGAAATGTCAAATTTTCGATTTTTTTCCTGTTTTTAACTTTTTGACTTTTCTTAAAAACTACCCTCCCAAATCAGATTTTGGTTTCCATAGGAAAACGGGTTATGGGAAGCCCACTAAATGATTGGTAAATGGTTGCGCCTAAATTTCATACAAAAGTTATGACCCTCGGAAAAGTCAGTTTTGATTTCTTGTCCGGTTTTTCGAAACCTTTTGACTCCTCTCGAAAACAACTCAATCTAATATCAAAGGTTCAATCACGGCAATAGTTTGTGGGAAGCCTTCCTGCAAAAGATGCTACGCTCTAAAATTTGTTCGTAAAAATTCTGAGAAAAATCTTTGGGAAAATTCCAAAATCACAAAAATTTCACTCTTATTTCAATCCGGACAAAATCCGGGCTGCTTCAAATTATCCGGACAAAACTTGAAACTTCAAGGGCGTTTTTCTCAAAATGAAGAGTACAGCAATAGCTTAGAATTTCACCGGAATTATCATACTGCAAATTATATTGCGAAGTTTGCAATCAAAACTGGAACCCAAAAATGGTTCATTATGGCTTTTTTTCAGTTAATCAATAATTACGCATAAATTGCTAAGTTAATCTAAACAAAACTCTAAAAGCCTCTCACACAGCCCAATAACTATTGAAAACATTTTTCGAAAGATTGAACGAATCGGTTGAAATTTGTTTTTTCGAGTCTTATATAATATAAATGACATTTTTGTTGTATCTGCTAAATTCATGGCTAGTGTTTATGTTTTTTCAAGCCTGTTTGATGCAGTTGCGTTGACGTGATACTCCTAATCTCTAGGTCGGAGCTTTGATTCCGGCCGAAAACGGGAGTTTTCTTTTTTAATTCCTACCTTTTTTCCTTAATTCACTATTCTAATTTTTCAGAGCTATATTTAACGGCTTTATTGCCTGTGTTTGCGGAGTGCAGCGTTGCCCGTGTATAGAAAATTCAAACGAAACGGGATTTTGTGTGAGGAATTGGTAATCGTAAATCTAAAATTTTGCAAGGAGAGCCAACTCTAGATATTTTAGGAGCAATATAATGATTTTCCTGCATTTTCAAATACAGAAGTAGTGACCACGATATGGAGTGCGCCTCCTCTACTCTTTCGTAAATTAGCTGTTTGCTCATAGAATTAATTAAAAATTCTAGAGCGAGGCGTGATTGACTTTCTGATTTTGGTGTTTAGGTTTAAGATTCTGGCTAATCAGTTGATGAGTCTGCAGTCGACGACGGAGATCAATCAGCAACTTCTACAGGACGTCATGTGAGTTTCTCTACGCACACCGGAAATGATGTAAATTTATAAAATTTCAGTGTTCTGAAAATGCTTTATGGCATTACGTGAAGTTAAGCTCATTTTAAACTTATGTAATCATCACTTATGTTCATTGATTTTTTCAGATCCGCAAGAACTGCTAATGCGAGCAACATAGGCGGCCTTTCTTCTCACTTCTCATCCACCAATATTTCCGTCGACAGTGACGCTGTTAGCAGTGCGCCTGAAGAATGATGATTAGAACTATTTTGGCCACGTGCACAAAAACTGATGAATCGAATCCTGTAATGTAATAATTTTCTTCATGATCTGATACCGTATTCTATGCATGAGATCGAAAAGCAGGCTGGATGTGTTCGTTTATAATGATATTGGTTATTGATGAAGTTTTAATTATAGAAAGAGAAGAACATTTAATTTTTTAAATATATAGTAGCATTTACTTCAATTCAATGTTAGTTAATTTTGAGTTCTTTCAAGTAATGACTGGATAAAGTCATCGGATGTCCTCAAAAGTAAGTCTGGAAAAAAGAGCTTTTATTCTGGTCTCTTAATTATGTGTAATGTTTTTAAACAAAAAATTCCATCAGCTGCAAATGAAAAGCAAATCTTTCTTAATTCTTGTTTGATAAAAACGTATAATGAAAATATATGGGATCGGGTTATTTTATTTTGAAATTGTGGGTGGAATTTTTTGACATAAATTTTTGAATTGTTGACATTCTCAAAAACAACCGTTCCAAAGCAAAAATGCTGAGATCAGTGGATAGAGCAGGTTAAGGGAAGATCTCCTGTAAAAGCGGCAACGCCAAATTTTTTTTTGCACAAAATTTATGTCCCTCAGAAAAGTCAAATTATCGAATTATCGATTTTTTTTTACCGTTTTTTGAAACTTTGATTTTTCTCAACAACAAACTGCCAGAATCTGAGATTTTTGGCTCAAGGAGTAGAAGGAGTTGTCGAAAGCCACCTTGTATACGCGGCAGCGCCAAATTTTCTGACACAAAAAGTTTTCGCCCTCAGAAATGTCAAATTTTCGATTTTTTTTCCGTTTTTTAATTTTTTGACTTTTCTCAAAAACTATCCTCCCAAATCAGATTTTTGGTTTCCATAGGAAAATGGTTGTGGGAAAACCCACTAAATAAATGGTAAATGGTTGCGCCTAAATTTCATACAAAAGTTATTACCCTCGGAAAAGTCATTGTTTTGATTTCTTGTCAGGTTTTTTTAAACCTTTTGACTCCTCTCGAAAACAACTCAATCTAATATCAAAGGTTCAATCACGGCAATAGTTTGTGGGAAGCCTTCCTGCAAAAGATGCTACGCTCTAAAATTTGTTCGTAAAAATTCTGAGAAAAATCTTTGGGAAAATTCCAAAATCACAAAAATTTCACTCTTATTTCAATCCGGACAAAATCCGGGCTGCTTCAAATTATCCGGACAAAACTTGAAACTTCAAGGGCGTTTTTCTCAAAATGAAGAGTACAGCAATAGCTTAGAATTTCACCGGAATTATCATACTGCAAATTATATTGCGAAGTTTGCAATCAAAACTGGAACCCAAAAATGGTTCATTATGGCTTTTTTTCAGTTAATCAATAATTACGCATAAATTGCTAAGTTAATCTAAACAAAACTCTAAAAGCCTCTCACACAGCCCAATAACTATTGAAAACATTTTTCGAAAGATTGAACGAATCGGTTGAAATTTGTTTTTTCGAGTCTTATATAATATAAACGACATTTTTGTTGTATCTGCTAAATTCATGGCTAGTGTTTATGTTTTTTCAAGCCTGTTTGATGCAGTTGCGTTGACGTGATACTCCTAATCTCTAGGTCGGAGCTTTGATTCCGGCCGAAAACGGGAGTTTTCTTTTTTAATTCCTACCTTTTTTCCTTAATTCACTATTCTAATTTTTCAGAGCTATATTTAACGGCTTTATTGCCTGTGTTTGCGGAGTGCAGCGTTACCCGTGTATAGAAAATTCAAACGAAACGGGATTTTGTGTGAGGAATTGGTAATCGTAAATCTAAAATTTTGCAAGGAGAGCCAACTCTAGATATTTTAGGAGCAATATAATGATTTTCCTGCATTTTCAAATACAGAAGTAGTGACCACGATATGGAGTGCGCCTCCTCTACTCTTTCGTAAATTAGCTGTTTGCTCATAGAATTAATTAAAAATTCTAGAGCGAGGCGTGATTGACTTTCTGATTTTGGTGTTTAGGTTTAAGATTCTGGCTAATCAGTTGATGAGTCTGCAGTCGACGACGGAGATCAATCAGCAACTTCTACAGGACGTCATGTGAGTTTCTCTACGCACACCGGAAATGATGTAAATTTATAAAATTTCAGTGTTCTGAATATGCTTTATGGCATTACGTGAAGTTAAGCTCATTTTAAACTTATGTAATCATCACTTATGTTCATTGATTTTTTCAGATCCGCAAGAACTGCTAATGCGAGCAACATAGGCGGCCTTTCTTCTCACTTCTCATCCACCAATATTTCCGTCGACAGTGACGCTGTTAGCAGTGCGCCTGAAGAATGATGATTAGAACTATTTTGGCCACGTGCACAAAAACTGATGAATCGAATCCTGTAATGTAATAATTTTCTTCATGATCTGATACCGTATTCTATGCATGAGATCGAAAAGCAGGCTGGATGTGTTCGTTTATGATGATATTGGTTATTGATGAAGTTTTAATTATAGAAAGAGAAGAACATTTAATTTTTTAAATATATAGTAGCATTTACTTCAATTCAATGTTAGTTAATTTTGAGTTCTTTCAAGTAATGACTGGATAAAGTCATCGGATGTCCTCAAAAGTAAGTCTGGAAAAATGAGCTTTTATTCTGGTCTCTTAATTATGTGTAATGTTTTTAAACAAAAAATTCCATCAGCTGCAAATGAAAAGCAAATCTTTCTTAATTCTTGTTTGATAAAAACGTATAATGAAAATATATGGGATCGGGTTATTTTATTTTGAAATTGTGGGTGGAATTTTTTGACATAAATTTTTGAATTGTTGACATTCTCAAAAACAACCGTTCCAAAGCTAAAATGCTGAATTCAGTGGATAGAGCAGGTTAAGGGAAGATCTCCTGTAAAAGCGGCAACGCCAAATTTTTTTTTGCACAAAATTTATGTCCCTCAGAAAAGTCAAATTATCGAATTATCGATTTTTTTTTACCGTTTTTTGAAACTTTGATTTTTCTCAACAACAAACTGCCAGAATCTGAGATTTTTGGCTCAAGGAGTAGAAGGAGTTGTCGAAAGCCACCTTGTATACGCGGCAGCGCCAAATTTTCTGACACAAAAAGTTTTCGCCCTCAGAAATGTCAAATTTTCGATTTTTTTTCCGTTTTTTAATTTTTTGACTTTTCTCAAAAACTATCCTCCCAAATCAGATTTTTGGTTTCCATAGGAAAATGGTTGTGGGAAAACCCACTAAATAAATGGTAAATGGTTGCGCCTAAATTTCATACAAAAGTTATTACCCTCGGAAAAGTCATTGTTTTGATTTCTTGTCAGGTTTTTTTAAACCTTTTGACTCCTCTCGAAAACAACTCAATATAATATCAAAGGTTCAATCAAGGCAATAGGTTGTGGAAAACCTTCCTGCAAAAGATGCTACGCCCTAAAACTTGTTCGTAAAAATTCTGAGAAAAGTCTTTGGGAAAATTCCAAAATCACAAAAATTTCACTCTTATTTCAATCCGGACAAAATCCGGGCTGCTTCAAATTATCCGGACAAAACTTGAAACTTCAAGGGCGTTTTTCTCAAAATGAAGAGTACAGCAATAGCTTAGAATTTCACCGGAATTATCATAATGCAAATTATATTGCGAAGTTTGCAATCAAAACTGGAACCCAAAAATGGTTCATTATGGCTTTTTTTCAGTTAATCAATAATTACGCTTAAATTGCTAAGTTAATCTAAACAAAACACTAAAAGCCTCTCACACAGCCCAATAACTTTTGAATGCATTTTTCGAAAGATTGCACAAATTGGTTGAAATTTGTTTTTCGAGTTTTATTTAATATAAATGACATTTTTGAAAATCACACAAAGTTTTATTTAAGTGATATTCAAGCAGCCATAGGAAAAACAACCATAGGAAAAACAACCTTTTGAGCAGCCATAGGAAGAACAAGAAAAGAAATTCAAAAGGCACTAGAAAAGAGATATGTAAGCAAAAGGGACATGAAATGGATATAGATAACTTGATGCACTGAGCAATTATGAACTGAAAATTTGCTGGATTTATATCATTGTTTTGTTGCATATGCCCCGCTTTTTAAGCACCGCTTTTCTATATGTTATTTGACCTTGACGATGAAAACTGTTAATTGGCGTTGATGGTCACGCACAACCGGCTGGCTTTCTGGTCTCTCGTATATTTCAGTGTCTCCTACCTAGCTGTATGCAGCACAGTTTCTCTCCCATCCTTTGGTTTCTTGAATTAAAATTACCAAGGTAATCTAAACAAAAAACCAAACGCCTCTCACACGGCCCAACAAAGTTACTGAATTGATTTTTTTAAAAATTGCACAAATTGCCTAAATTTTGTTTTAAGCAAAGATTTAGAGTTTGATACAATAAAAATGACATTTTTAAAAATCACGCAAAATTTTATTTTCCTTTACAGATTTTTGGATGTTCTACCTTTCTAAAACTTTGTTAAGTTGTGTGAGAGTTGTCTTTTGATATACATGTTTCATCTGTAGTTTTTGCATAAATCTTGATTAACTGAAAAATTAGTAATTGAACTTAGTGATTCCAGTTGAAATTAAGTGGCTTCTTAGAACTCGTTCTTAAGTGGTTTTTCCTAATTTCCTAATTGATTATATTGAGTTGCTGGTAGGAAGATTTGAGCAAATTTTGGATAAAAGTAAGATGAGAATGTTAGATTTTGCTTAAAATGTTTCTTAGCCGAACAACAATTTACTTATCTGAGTTTTTGTGTGCACCTGTTGGCAGTTTTCTTGCTGTGCTGCGCAACTATAAGGGGTCTGTTCAATCATCTTTGGTCTTCTTAAGATGCGTAAGCTAACATGCCCTACTGTATATCAAGTTGCACGAAATTTTTTTTTTATATGTGACAAGGTGCTTGGTGAACAGAAATTTTCGAACCCTATTTACACTTGCGATAAGCATGAGTATAACAATCGGATACTAGACTTTTTTCCCGTAAACAACTTTGTCCACAGTATGACTGAAGTTTGTGGTCATCTCCAAATGCATCTCTATTTCTAAAGAACTTGCACGTCTTACAGCTGTAATTCAACAGCTGGCTTCAACTGCTAAATTGATAATTTTTTATAGCTGAAAAAATTTCTAGATGCAATTTTTTTGTCGGCTTATGGGTTTAGAACCAGTTTTTGTCGGCTTACTTGCCGGTTAAATTTTTTCTGTAAATTTTGATAGATTTTTCAAATACTTTTTTCTTCATTTGCATGAGGGTAAATATAGTTTATGGTTTTCTGGTTTTTATAAGATCCAAAAGTTTCCCAATACTATAAAAAAAAAATTGTGTTTTTCGGCTTGAATTTTGTTGAATGCTTGTTTTTCAATTTTTTTGTTCTAAAAGTGCCTGAAATTAGTTTAAATTTAAGTTATTTTTACTTAGGGTTTGAGAAACTTTATTTGAACTCGATTCAAGTTGATGGTCTAACGTATTCTTTCAAGATGTCAAAAAAATTTGATTAATTTCAAGATTTTTTTGCAAGACTGACTCGACTGTTTTGCCTAAAAAGGAATGTGGCGGCAAGTTCTGCACGAGATCCAGGAGATTGGTTTTTTCTAGCTGAAGTTTTTGAAAGAAAAATTTTCGTTGTTTTTGATTTCCTTTCTTTGCGGTTTCTTACGTTTTTGTTGTGATCTAGCTCTTTTACCGTTGCGCACAAGATTCATAACTTATCATTCTTGATGTAAATGGGTTATTTCCATAGGTTTGCTGAGTTTTTTTAAAGATTTTTGTTAAGTTATGCTCTGTGGCAATTGTTCAAGTTTTGTTTTTCGTTTTTTTTTCTTTTGGGTTTATATAATAGCAATTAGCGAATAGGGCCTTTAACCCCCGGTTTTTTTGTTGGATATGCAAATTGTTTGGTTGCAAGATTTAATTAATAGTTTTCGAGTAAATTTAGAATTTTTGTTTCTCAATTATTCGATTGAAATTTTTTCTTATCGTTACGTCTATTGGTTATCAGAAATAAATGGATATAGTTTAGCCCAAATATTTTTTGTTTTGAAGGTAATTGATGTTTTTAACATTTGCAATAAAATTGTCCTTGATTTTTTAGCCAACGATTTTTTCAACAAAATGCGTTCAAGTTTTTCAAGCTTGAGACTCCTTATCTTTTGATTTCTGGAGATTTATTGTGTATCGCAGATGTTGCGAAGCTCAGCTTTGCCTCGGTGTAAAAAAGCAACAAAAGTTCGTTAGGTATATATATTAGAAATAGAAAAACCACGAAAATAGAAAAACCACGAAAATTTTTCTTTCAAAAATTTCGGCAAGAAAGAACCAAACTCCTGGATCTCGTGCAGAACTTCCCGCCACATTCCTTTGCAGGCAAAACAGTTGAGTCAATCTTGCAAAAAAAATCTGGAAAGTTATCAAATTGTTTTGACATCTTGAAAGAATACGTTAGATCATCTACTTGGATCGAGTCCAAATAAAGTTTCTCAAACCTAAAGTAAATTTAACTAAAATTTGAACTTATTTCAGGCACTTCGAGAACAAAAAAAAATCGGAAACCATGCATCCAAAAAAAACTGACAATGTTTTGCAAAAAAATTCCAGCCGAAAAATACAAAAAAATTTTTTTAATCTAAATAGAAAAATTTGGATCCTATAAAAACCAGAAAGCCATAAACTTTAATTACCCTCAAACAAAAGAAGAAAAAAGTTGTTGAAAAATCTATTAAATCTTACAGAAAAAATTACCCGGAGAGTAAGCCGATAAAAACTGGTTCGAAACCCATAAAACCGACAAAAAAATTGCATCTAAAAAAACTTTTCAGCTATAAAAAATAATCAACTCAGCAGTTGAAGTCAGCTGTTGAATTACAGCTGTAAGACGTGCAAGTTCTTTAGAAATAGAGATGCATTTAGAGATGACCTCAAATTTCAGTCATACTATGGACAAAGTTCTTTACGGGAAAAAAGTCTAGTATCCGATTGTAATACCCATGCTTATCGCAAGAGTAAATAGGGTTCGAAAATTTCCGTTCACCAAGCACCTTGTCACATATAACAAAATTTTTTCGTGTAACTTGATATACAGTAGGGCATGTTGGCTTACGCATCTTGAAAAAGACCAAAGATAATTGAACAGAACCCTTATAGTTCCGCAGCACAGCAAGAAAACTGCCAACAGGTGCAAACAAAAACTCAGATAAGTAAATAGTTGTTCGGCTATGAAACAGTTTAATCAAAATCTAACATTCTCATCCTAATTTTATCCAAAGTTTGCTCAAATCCTCCTCTCAGCAAGTCAATGTAATCAATTATTTCGATGCTCTTTTGTGGATAACAAAAAGCAAAAATTATTCAGGATTTAGGATTTTTTGTCTTTCTCCTGGTAAAATTTTTTTCTCAAAACTAAGAAAAACCACTTAAAACTTAAAAACGAGTTCTACGAAGCCACTTAATTTCAAGTTGAATCACTAAGTTCAATCACTATTTTTTCAGTCAAATCCAGATTTATGCAAAAACTATTGATAAAAAATGTAAATCAAAAGACAAAATGTATTGCTTTCATATCTCTTTTCTTTTGCCTTTTGAATTTCTTTTCTTGTTCTTCCTATGGCTGCGTCTAATATTGTTTCTCACGTGTTATGGTTCCTGTGGTTGCGTCCTCAACGAGATCGAATTCTTAGTTCAACTACAAAAAGTAATAATAACAAAAGCTGCTTAGAATTTCAGTTTTCATGGTGCAAATTATTTTTTCAGTTAATCAAGATTTATGCAAAAACTATTGATAAAAAATTTATATCAAAGACAACTCTCACAGACCTTAACAAAGTTTTAGAAATGTAAAACCTCCAAAAATCTGTATAAGAAAATAAAATTTTGCTCGATATTCAAAAATGTCATTTTTATTGTACAAAACTCGAAATCTTTGCTTAAAACAAATTTCAACCAATTTGTGCAATCTTTTAAAAAATTAATTCAATAATTTTGTTGGGCTGTGTGAGAGGCGCTTGGTTTTTTGGTTAGATTAACTTGGCAGTCTTAATTCATGAAACCAAAGGATATGAGAAACTGTGTTATATATAACAAACCTGAAATCATTAATTATGCACGACGCCATGCTCTTGTTACTGCCCTTGCACAATTGTTCCACTAGTTGTCTAAAATTTTAAGCTGAAGTATCATTATTTTTCTATCCCTGTTTTATATAACATGTTTTCTCATGCATTATATGTTTTTTTATTCACAAAAAATTGGTTGCATTTTTGATCACAGTAGTAAAATCACTGGGCAATAATTTACATCAGCCATTAGCGTACTAATTAAAATTTATTCCGAATTTATTCTGAAATCAAATTTATTGTAATTGATTTAAAAATGAGAGCGCAGTCTCTTTAAACTCAAATTTTCATGTATATTTTTTATTTGAAGTAAGTTGTTAGTAAGAAAATAATAACTGCTCTTTGGCCACTTCTTTTATTAGCAATAAGGCTCTATTAACAAAATTAAGGCAAAATAGAGGAGCCAGAGAGTGCAATGAGCGATGGTTTGATGCAGATGAAACTGCATGGACTTTTTGTTGGTGTTACCCTGATCCGAATGTGATCGATACACCAAATTGAGCAGCACCATTTTTGACGTATTTCCCAAACCCTTCCTTTGATATGAAACTAAACAATCCTTTTTCCATCTTCTCCAGCGCAGGAGAAAAGTCCATTTTGAAGTCTCGTCTGTAAACCTCTTTCTTATTGGGATCTTTCAGATAGATTGAGACAACTAGCTTCTGACCTTCTTGAACCTTCTGTCTGTCGCCATCTCTGTTCACAACTGAGACACACACAGACACAGACTTGTCAGTTTGATCTCCAGTACCATTCAGAAACACCTTCACAACCACTACGCAATTGATGAAAACGTCTCTTTGATCATGCTTCACAGCTTGTCCACAACCAGCACCTGTTTGCTTCTTGGGAACCTTCAGATTAACAGGACGAACTTTTAATGCCGCAAGCTCTTTGTTCCCTTTTATGTTTTTGTGTTCCGCAAACTGTTGAAGTAACTTGACCTTCTCTGCCTTGATGTAAATCATGTTTTTCCTGGTGATCACATTGGTGAGGATGGGCGTACCTGCTTTCAATTTGTCGCTTATGATTTTGTCTAAGATCGCTATTAGAGTCGTCTGTTCTTCTTGGATTTGATCTTCACTACAAAAACTGGGCGCACTATAACTTTTGGCAAGCGTTTTCTTCCAGTTTCCATGTTCTGGACTTTCAGTACAGTTGAAGAATCGTTTTCTGTCTACTTTGGTTGCTGCCACTTTGCTATCGAAAGCACACTAAATAAAACATTGGTCAGGTAAGGTAAGGTTTAATACATTTGGCTTTGCTTCTGACCGGCGATATTATTTTAATCCCAAACGCTACAAACAAAGCCGGCACACGGGCAAAATAAAGTCACGGAGAAACCTTTGCTGATCATAAAATTGAAGTTAGATAACACGAATCAATTAATGAATTTATAAATTATAGACAAAAAAGTAATAGTTGCAGTTTGGCTCAACGGACAGTTTAACTCAAAATTAAATTTGAATAACTCAAAGTTTATTTGAAATTAAAACGGAACTTTTTCATATTGCATCATGCACGTTATACAAGACTTAACAGACACCATAAACAGAAATGCACCTCTGAAAATAAACAACAACAGCTGCGTGTCATCGTGATGCAATTTCTCATCATGTCTTGAGCAACTGGCAGTAATCAGATTTGCAGGGGGCATTATTTTAACCATGAGATATGGTTTACTTTGGTATTAGGTAACCGTATTTGGTTCTCGTATAGGAGGACTAGATGAGGCTACCCCAAGGCAAGTCATATCTCATTGTTACAACTATGGCCCCAGAAAATTGTGACCAGTAGAAAAGCTTTAAATGATTTTGTTAGTGCTGAAATTCAAACATAGACAAATGATGTTCGCTCAGTGCTTGAAAATACTCACCCGTTTCAGAGAACCGGCGCTTCTTATTTGCAATGATTTGACAGCATGCGAGAAGACGACTTCAGTTTGAGGATCCTTCATATTAATAATAATTGTAAAGGTAAATTAATGTTGATCATCTTTTCACAAGTATTGCATCGAGAACCGTATATTCTCTTGGGTTGATATAAGCACAAAGTTCAAAGATTCAGTTGCACAATATGTTTTAACTAAGTCTAAAGTTAATGTTTCGCAAGAGCAATGCCAAGGAAGTAGAACCGGTACAAGATGGTATCACTTAATTGTATGCAGTCGAGTCGGTCAACCAAAGTTTATCCAGCGGTTCAAAATAAAATGTTTTTCAAAAAACTGCAAGTACAAAACAGTCCTGAACAAAAATTGTTCAATGCAAAAAACAAAGTCCGAAAAAACAATCCAATCACACAAGACAGCCCAAGCCCATTTGATTTTTTTGACCACTATATATTGACGCCGATAAAAAAAATTTTGCGCTTTGAATTGTACAGTGGTCAAATAAATAACGATCAAAGAACCGAATATCAAACAATAAATCAAACGATTTTCGAAGGCGCTCAAGTGTTGTTCTTAAGAAGATGAATTTAAATTTTAAAGGTGAAAGAATTGTACCCCGGCATCAAAACAAATTTTCTTATTTTCCAAATAAATCGAAACTTGAGAAAATAGGAGAACAGGTCGATCAAGGGTACCTTCAATGAGTTCAACTGCAAATGTTTAGCCGAGGAAGTAAAAATTTCTACGTGCATGGTTTGACGGTTTCAACATACCTTTTGAAACCTCGCAAAAAGTTTGCACTTCTTTTTTTAAAGAATTTTCTAAAGTGAAATTTTCTTGATGTCTGCAGTGGTTTATCACATTTTAAACTGATAGCTTTATCCAAACTTTTATATGCATATCCTTCAAAGTAGCAGCTAAACTTTTTTAGCGCAAGGTTGGTTTTGCTCAACGTTAAATGGTTTTAACTTATTTAAGCACTGCCAAGTGTTTGCAAATGAAATATTTTGAGCAATTTGGCTTTTATTGGCTGGATCAGGAAAAAGCGTCATTTTTTTCACTGCATTAATTTCAACGTTTCGCTATTCTTGGCTAAAAATCAGATGTTGTTTTCTGGGTAGCTTAAGTTTTTTGGTTATTGGTATTTATCATCCGTCTGAACTAAAATACAAAACTGAACTTTCACAAGCAGAAAATAATGTTATACAAATTATTTCTAAGGTTCTTAGCAGCTTTTGAATGAATTGATTTCTTTACAATGAAATTGTTTTTGTGGGATGTTTTTGAGGTAGTTTTATTATGTAATTTTTCTCAGGACTGTTTTGTTTTGGACCGTTTTGTGTAAATAAGGCTGAAAATAAATAAACTAGAGTGCGCATATAAAAATTAGTTTAAAAAGCACGAAAAATGTTCATTGAGCGTTATAATAGTATTATATATTCTAAAGCTCATGTGACTAGTGTAAATATATGCGAAAGTAACTATTTTATTTGACTATTAAAACTGGACGTTTTTCTTCAAGATGAAATTGAAAAAAAAAACTATACTACAATATAACTTAGTTTTAAAAATTAATCGTTAAAAATCAAAAGTAATGTTTTATTTTTCTTTTGACAAAATATCAGATATGAGCTTAAGTTTTGCTCTTCCGAATGAAGTCAATTCAAAAACCGTTCCTCTATTGGATTAATACTTTGGTTGTGTTGGATGGAATAAACAATTTGTGCCGCAATAATGAAAAAATGAGACTAACAAAATCAAAAATAACTTCTGAAAAAAACAATCATAGAAAAAAGATTTTTCAGTTTCAGAGACTTCTGACAAAAGATTCTGAAAAAAGAAAGTAAGAACCAACATCGAAAAACTGCTTTTGAAAAGGCATGCAAAAATATGATAAATAGCAAGCGGGCATATCTCTTTGACCGGTAAACCTTCACAAACGCAGCTATCTAGTGCAATAATAAGGCGGCCAAACTGCTTGTCAATGAACGGTTTTAACTTACAGTAAAATATAAAGCAAGCGGGGACCGACCTTTTACCAGACCGACCTATTACTAGAAAAGTTATAACATGGACCTTTTACCAGACTCGACGAACAAATTTGATTGAAAGATATAATAACGCCGTTTAGTCTGGTTAAAGACAATGTTTTCACGTTTTCTCTGCCAAGTTGTGTTTGATCTAAACGCTTCCTTTTCGAATCTTCCACTAATTTAAAATTTTTTTTATTGAATTATTGCATTGTGGCCTGTTAAAAGGTTGGTCTGGTAAAACACCTAGCCCCAAAAGCAAGCATGTTTATACCACGACCGTATTTCTAGTTATCAATTTCGAAAATAACTCAAAGGTGTGTGATAATATCTAAAAACAAGTCTTTCCCATCACATCTTTCAGCTTAGTAGTAAAAAAGTTATAGCACTCAGTTTGTCGATTTTCAATTGACTTCAAAACTATCGCTCTCATTCGAAAGTGCTTGTTTGTATTGTCAGTGATAAACTAAGTGCTGCATAGAGTTACGAGATTTTTGTAAATAAAAAAGCATCCACTGATGAGGTGGAGGGGAAGGGGACCATATTTTATTGGGATTTATTGCGAGAAACATCAACAGTTGTACTAATTTGGGCGCTTTTATAAAAAATGGTTTCAGGTGAACTAATTCAAAAAATCGACCTATTTTTGAATTGATCAGGTTTTGAAGAATGTGATGACCATATAGATTCATTCAGATTTTCTTTTACAAGGAAACTTCACTGCGTGGACATCAATCCAATTATCTTAAAATTACCAAGCAACTTTGCCTGTTCTACAGTGCTGATTTAAATCAACCGGACAAAACGCGTTAAACTTGTAATTTAAAACGCATTTTTCTCAAATTGGGTTGAGTTTAGATGAAAACTTATGAAGACAAAACTTGCTTAAAATTTTAGCAGATTTAATATGGTAATTTGTTTTGCAAAATTCGGTACCGAAATTTTACCCCAAAAATGGGTCATTTTGGCTTTTCTTAGTTAATCAAAAACTACGCTGAAGTAAGCCAGTCGATCACAGACATAATTATATCAAAGTGAGCCCCTTACGTAGCCCAACAATATTTATGAAGGGTATTTTCTCCAAAATATTGTATAAATTAATTTATTTTTGTTTGATAGACAAAAAAGGTCATTTTTACTATATAAAATACCAACTTTTTATTTAAAAACAATTTTTGAACCATTTGCATTTTTGTTGGAGAAAATACCCTTGTTAAAGTTTGTTTTGTTGGGCTACGTAAGGGGCTCACTTTGATATAATTATGTCTGTGATCGACTGGGTTATTTCAGCGTAGTTTTTGATTAACTAAGAAAAGCCAAAATGACCCATTTTTGGGGTAAAATTTCGGGCCCAAATTTCGCAAAACAAATTACACCGTATTAATGATGCTAAAATTTTAAGCAAGTTTTGTCTTCATAAGTTTTCACCTAAACTCAACCCAATTTGAGAAAAACGCGTTTTAAATTTCAAGTTTAACGCGTTTTGTCCGGTTAATTTAAATCAGCACTGTAGCTTGAATGTGATTGATAACTGCTCGATTGAAACTTAACTTTTTCAATACGCAATTAATCAAGCCTTCACAGTCGTTCCAAATGGAGTTGACTGGCAAACAAAAATTAAAAATTAAACGAGACTGCTCGTATCACGGCGAAGCCCTGAATGTTCCGACTGCCTTTTAATGTTTAAGGAGCGGTAATAACCTATAAAAATAAAACGTAATAAAAATGAAAAAAAAAAACTAAAATTTGATTTTTTTTCAGAAATCATCACCCCACACGCCATATAAAGTACAAAGCGATAGATATCGCTCCTAGTAACAAATCAATTATGGCAAATAAGCTTCTTCCAACTAATTTGGAACAATTTCTAAGACGGATTAAATCTCCGCTTACGCGTTAATAGCGCGAATTGTATCACGCGTTAATTGTCCCAAATTGGTCAAAATGGCCAAAATGTCAACCTTTAAACCCTCATAACTTCACGAAAAATGATCACAGGTGAAATACCTTTTCAAATTTAAGCTCAGGACAACAAAAGGTTTCGAATGATAAAAAAATACCGTCAAAAATGGCTAGTTAAAAAGACGAAATTTGTCTGAAGAAAAAAAACCCGCCCCGAGCACAAATATTCCGTTACTTTCGTATCAAAAGTCGGAACAAAAACTTTACTCAGAAGGACTTATCAGAATTGAAACTAGCGGCAAAAACTTAAAGTGTGAGGAATCTTTAGTTCAAAAACTTTATTCAAGACCAGCTAATGAGCAGTCGGATTTTTCAAGTTTTTAACTTTTTTATTATAAAGCAGTTTCTCAGTTTTTTATTATTTTTTACCAGCCGCTCTATTAACGTTTTTTTCGATTGCGACCAGCCCAATAAATGCCTTTAGATATTCGTTTTTGTCCCAAGTCAATTCATTGTCTTGTATAGCAATTCGTTTCATGAATCAGGTTATTGTTTCTTACGACAGTATATTCAAAACAAGACTGCTCGTATCAGGGCAAAGCCCTGAATGTTCCGACTGCCTTTTAATGTTTAAGGAGCGGTAATAACCTATAAAAATAAAACGTAATAAAAATGAAAAAAATATATAAAATTTGAAATTTTTTATGAAAAGCATCCCCCCGCACGCCATATAAAGTACAAAAGGATAGATTTCGCTCTTTGTAACAAATCAATTATGGCAAATAAGCTTCTTCCAACTAATTTGGAACGATTTCTAAGACGGATTAAATCTCCGCTAACGCGTTAATAGCACGAATTATATCGCGCGTTAATTGCCTTAAATCTACCAAAGTAGACTTTGGACCCCCAAAACTTTACAAAATGATCACAGGTGAAACAGTTTTTCGAATTTAAGCTCAGGCTAAAAATACTTTTTGAACGATTTTTTTTTAAAAAAAGACCGTCAAAATGGCTAGCTCGGGAGCACAAATATTCTGTTACTTTCGTTACGAAAGTCGGAAAAATTACGGTTCAATGTTTGATGCTTATTAACTTCAGTTCTCTTCTGTTGAGAGGGGGGGACTAAGGGCATGCGGTATGGAGAAGGGGAGGAAAGTAAACCTTAGTGGTGAT